TTTTTTAATTTTAGCTATTGGTGGGTGTGTAGTGGTATTTCATGGTGGTTTTAATTTGCATTTTCCTAATGACTGATAATAATGAGATCTTTTGATATGCTTATTAGAGCATAACATTTTGTTCAGTGAAAGGCTCTGCTGCTTTAAAAAAAGGTTGAAATCCACTGGCTCAGATAAACTGTGAGGCTCTTACAGAGTCTGTAATCCCTGAAACTCTTAGTGGGGCCCAGGGCTCGTCTCTTTTTCTGAAACAAAGCAGGTAGGTAAATCACTAGTATAAGCACTGTGCTCTGTGTGTGGGTGAGAGATGAAACCAACAAACGTTTCTTGATTAAATACTGGGCCACAATCTCAAATCCAAAATTCTAAAATCCAAATTATTCTGAAAACCAAATGTTTTTTCTTGGTTGGCAGCAAAACTCATTGGTAGCAAAATCTAACATGAACTTTTGTGGGTTTTGTTTGTTTGTTTGCAGAAGGACCCTCTGTTGTCCCATGCCTGTGTTGGCTGCCTGGAGGCCTTGCTTGACTACCTGCATGCCCGGAGCCCAGATGTCGGTAGAAAGCCTCTCCATTTTCTGATGTTCCCATGGGGGAGATTGGAGGGGGCCAGCCCCTGCCACCCGCCTGCTCCAGAGTCCCATCCCCTGTTCTGTGATTCACACTCATTTTGTTCAGTTCTTTTAACAACACTGCAAGGGCACTGTCATGCCCATTATACAGATGAGGAACTAAGGTTCACAAAGGTCAAGTAACTTGCCCAGCCAAGGTCACAAAGCTCTTAAGTGCCAGAGCCCTTCTTGTTGCCTGCTTCCCACAATAGTGGGATATGTCGTCTCCCTGAGCCAGGCAGCATAGATGGATAGAAGCCCAAAGAAAGAAACCTCCTGGGGTCAGCTTGTCCAATGCCCTGCCTCTAGCTGAGCAGCCCCTTTTTGAGCCAATAGGAGAAAATCCTCTTTAGCAATGTCCCAAGGCCTTTGGAAAAACAGCATTAACAACCCACGGTGACTGATGTTTCCCGTAGCACTCCATGTGGCCTCCCAGCCCTGGAATCGATTTTTGCTGTTTACCCTCCTGGATGCTGGAGAGAATTCCTTCCTTAGACCTGAGATCCTGAGGCTCATGACTCTGGTAAGCACAGAAAGGATGGTCTTGTGGTCTGAAGAATGTCATGAGGGCCGGCCCCGTTGCTTAGTGGTTAAGTGTGCGTGCTCCACTGCTGGCGGCCCGGGTTCGGATCCCGGGCGCGCACCGACGCACTGCTTCTCCAGCCATGCTGAGGCTGCGTCCCACATACAGCAACTAGAAGGAAGTGCAGCTATGACATACAACTATCTAACTATCTACTGGGACTTTGGGGGAAAAAATAAATAAAATTATTAAAAAAAAAAAATGTCATGAGCTAGGTGGTCCTGAGGAGGCCAGGGACACCTTACTTTAGCTAACCCTAATCCTCAAAGAAGGTAGAGAGGCTGGGCAGGCCTTTACTCTACAAGAGGCCTGCTCAGAGAGTTTCTCTAATGCCCACATCTTGCCTCAGAAGACCTGGACACTCTCTTTCATTCACTCACTCATGAAACATTGACCAGGGCTGCCTACTATATGCCAGATCCTATGCTAGGTACCAAAGATGTCGATGAACCAAATGCTTTGCCTTTAAGGGGCCCTCAGTCTAGAGAAGATAGACAAGGAAACTAATAGTTAAAATATGATGTTATTAGTGGTAGAGTACAGTAGAAGACATGCTAAGTGCTTGGCACGCAGTTAGTGCCCATTAAATAAACAACAAAGCAGTGAGCCTGTGAATGATAGTCAAGTGGATCAATGAATTAATCAGTGGTTGGTGTGGGAACACTGAGAAAAGAGTAATTGCTTCTGCCAGAGCTGGGAGGGAGAAGTGAATGAGAATGTAATAAGCACTCAATTAATGCCTGTATTTCTTTAATAAAATGAAAGAACATTAGCAGTGAAGGTAACATTTTAGCTGAGGCTTGCAGGATTAATAGGCAGAAAAGGAAACATATTCCACGTAGTGAAGTGAGAATAGCTGGTACACAAGTACATGGTGGTGTGTTTGTGTAACCACACATAGTCCATTTTGGCCATGAGTGTGAGATGCATGGCCAAGGGGTGGTGGGCAGGTGGTGGTGGTGGTGGGAACTGAAGGGGTCAGCAGGGCCAGCTCTCTCAGGGTCTCCCAGTCTGCCTCATTTATCCCACTCTCCATGACACAACCCCACTCCTACCCACCAACTCTGAGCTCCTCGAAGGTAGGGTTTTGTGGACTTCAGATCTCTGTCCCAGGCCCAGTGCTGAGCACAGCAGAAGCACAGGAAATGACTATGACTGAAGGAGATGCCAAATCACTGCATGTCTGGGGCTTCTCTTCTTGGGCCAGTTTGTGCGGTTCCGGAGCAGCAGCGTCCTCTCTCATGACGAGGTGGGTCATGTTTTGCAAGGCGCGGCTTTGGCTGACCTCTCTGCCCTCTCGAACACCACCCTCCAGGCTCTGCGTGACTTCTTCCTGCAGGTGGGTCAGAAGGGGATGCTGTGTAGCCACTGTGAGGTAGACCCTCCATGCCATCTTCCCTGTGGAGGGTGGGAGCTCTGGCCACAGCAGCCAGTGGGAGGTCAGGCGTGCAGCGGGTGGAGGGTAGAGAGGGCCTGTATGGAGTGGGCACTGAGAAGGCCTGTCTTCCTTGCCCTCTTCTCCCCTCAGGTCCAGAGCATGGGTCTCCTGGCTGATCACAGCACAGCCGAGACCCTGCAGGCCTCCTTGGAGGACCTTTTTCCCAGGGCCTCCTTGGCCCAGCCACCCCTGCAGGACATGCTGTATCCTTTCTTGCATCTGGGAGCTTTGGCCTGGGCAAGGTCACCTAGGCTATAGGAGGCTGTGGCATCATGCTTCAGGACAGAGAGATGTACTGTCTACAGCCTTGTCTTCTAAAGCAAGCAGGGGTCGGTGAGAATAATTAACAGTGATAGCAATGACAATGACTTGTTCTGTTTATTAAGTTCCTACCAAGGGCCAGTCACATTACATGCACTGTAGCTAATCCTCACAGAGCTAGGAGTGTTAATGTAGTTGTAACTTAGACCACGGAGGTCAAATGATGTGCCCAGGATCACACAGTGATACCATCAGGATTGGACCCCAGATTTGCCTGTCTCCAAAGCGACATCACCAAACTCAGGAAGGAGTTCGTCCTTCCCCAAGAGCTTTGGACAAAGTTGCCCAACTCCACTTGGCACAGCTGCTTCCCTCAGCCCAACATAGTGGGTGCTAGGTGACTGGCACGTCCCTGAGAAAGCCTGGGGTTGTAGGCAGTGGTCAGAGGCCCTCTGGGGGGTTGTTGTGCTCCAGAGACACTTTGGTGTGGAAGTGTGTGTGTATGGGGGTGCTTCTTCTTCACGCCTACCAGCTGCCTCCCTGGCTCTCCTCCTTCTCCCTCCCTTGGAACAGTTCTCTGTTGTATAGCAACTACCTAGCCCAGGTGTTCAAGTCCCAGTTTTAGAATCCCTCCCACTATTCTTAGGGGCACCTCGGTTCTTGTCTGACCGTTTTTGCCCTTTTTGGGTTCTGGAAGTGTGGTTCTCCCATGGTTGGCCCCACTTCTCTGCTGTTCTCCTCTCATGTTTTGCTGCCAGCTGCCTGGGAGGGGTGGCTGTATCCCTGTCCCACATCAGAGACTGACCCTCAGGACTTGAAGGCCCAGAAACAGAGAGAACTGAGACCTAGAGAAGACAAAGCCAGGGCACAATAGTTTGGGGAAATGGATGACAACTGCAGCCATTCATCTGGAGTCATTTACTCCCTTGCTGAAATGGAATCAGGAAATAAAATGATGCACTTACATGCCTGTGTGGGGCTCTCCAAAAACATTTCACTCTCAACTTACCTTGGCTTCTCCAGCTGGTTCCTCAGCCAGGATGGATGGCCTCCTCAGGGGGAGAGGGGACGGATTTGTTCTGGTAACACATAAGGAGCACCAGCGCCAGCTGGTTGCCTCAGTTGTACCCAGAAAACACCAGCCAGGCCATCCTTGGGGCTGCAAGGGCAGAGAAAGGCCATGTGTTTGGTGCTGCTGTGATCCAAGTGCTCTGAGAGGCACTTTCCCTGCTGCCTCACCTCACGGGAAGGTGGAGAGAGGTACAATTTCCAGGCAAGGAAGCTGAGCAGGTCATCCCTCTCAGCCTTCCTGTCTGAGCGAAACTGTCCCAGCTTAGACCTTCCCTGGCTCCTGGCCCTCCTCGGAGCTTGTATTTGTTTACCCACGTGTGCGGTTCTTTTAATTTCTCCGCTCCACAGCTGCCCGCTCCTGTCCTAGCTCAGCCCACGTGGGCCTCTAGGTCCTTTCCCGCCCGCCTGCCGAGGGCCCCGGTGCCGTAACTGGCTACCACCCTTCCTCCCCAGGCCTGGCCGTACTGGCCCTGCACAAACCTGGGCTGAACGCCGTCCTAATGAACGGACGGGGAAGCTCCCGACTAACTTCCTTTAGAACTTGGTGGACCGGGGGCAAGCAGGGGATACGCCAACTCTGCACTGCAGGTTACTTAAAAAAAAAAAAAAAGTGCTTGTCACGACCCACTAAACTCATCTTGCCAACTGCAGTTTAAACAATACTGCCAACTCGCGAAACAATTTCGGGGAGGGCGCGTGGAAGGCCGCCCGGCCGGGGTCAGGGCCCCAGTTTGCTAACGCGCCCTTGAGGTGGCCAAAGACCCCAGGCAGACTGAACTCCAATCGACCTTAATAGAGCGCCCGGGCGCAGGGCGGGCGGGACTAGCCTCCCGGGAAGCCTGTACCCGACTCGTGCGGAGCCTGGCGGGCGGGGTCGGAAGTGAGGTCAGCGGAGCTGCAGTCGCGGCCCGCGCTCATTGGCCGGGAGCGGCGCGGTGGGAGGGGCGGCGCTCGGCAGTCCCCGAGCTGCAGCTCGCGGATACTTTTGGGTTGCGCGCCTTTGCTAGTGGCGCGGTGGACCTTTGAGCCAAGTTGCATATCGAGGGCGCGCCCCTTCCCACGCCGCACGGCCTGGTAGGTGGGGACGGGGGCGTTGGGCGGGCAGGCCGCCACCCCGAACCGGCCGCAGCGGGGTATGGGAAGAGATTCGCCGTCCCGCACGCCTCTCCTTATTGGAAAGACTTGTTCTCCGCTCCGGGAGCCCCAAAGGCTCGGGGCAGCAACCTGGGTCCGCGAGCGCGGGTAGCAGCTCAGGGCCCGCCACCAGCATGCTTCTTCTGCAGAATGGCTTCACAGTCGCACGCCGAGCTCTGGGGACTCGCGGGGCGGGGAGCGGGGTTGAGAGGCGGGATAAGTGGGAGGAACAGTAGAGAAAGCAAGATGCGCCCCACGCAGTTTGCTTTTTCAGCTTTCTTTTCCCACTTCTCCTCTGCTTCAGTCATTATATCTGATATGCCCCTGGCCCCAAGTTCTGCCCTAGCCCCGGTCTGGTTGCTTTGAGTTTGGAGCGTGACATTGGGCGGTGGGGCATCCTGGGTGAATTTGATTACTCATCTCTAGGCTTCAGTCGTTTTATCCGCATGGGGTGGGGGCGGTCCTTTGGATGACCTCTGTGAGATTTCACTGTCAATAACTGAGCATCTTTCCCCTAGGGCAGGTGTCCTGGTAGAACAGTCGCCAGCTCTGAGATAGCCTGTGTTCTTTAGACTCAGTTTAGCCTGGGAATAGATGAGTGACTGGGCAGTCAGCCTCACTTTCCTGTGCCTTGGTTTCCACATGGGTAAAATTGGACAGCTGTCATCTGAGTGTGAGGCCTTCTCTGACCACTGTATTTAATATTGCACCCCACCCACTCTCTCTCATCCTTCTGTGCTTGTTTTACACGTTTGTTGGTTGTATCTTACTCCTACTAGGGATGTAAATACCACGAATGCAGGGCGTTTTGTTTGTCTTGTTCACTGCTGTATCCCCAGCTCTAGAACAGTGCCTAGAGCGTGGTGGGTACTCAGGAAATAGTTGGAGAGTGTTGCCTGAATAGGAGCACGTGTTGCTTGTGGTTCCTGTGGCTCCAAAGTGAGTGAGTAGCAGCCCTCTTATGCCAAGACTACGCTACCTCCCTTCCTGTCCTGCATCCCTTCTTTCTCTCTGATGATAGAAGTCAGAGAAGGAGGGAAACCCCAGAAGTTTTACGTCCTCTCTGACTGCCTGGGCCTCTTTGACCAGATATGGTCCTGGGAGGCCAGGATGGGGGTGTTGAGAGGGAATGATATTGACCAGCTCTGAGCTAACATCCACTGCCAATCCTCCTTTTTTTTTTTTCCCTCCAAAGCCCCAGTAGATAGTTGTATGTCATAGTTGCACATCCTTCTAGTTGCTATAGGTGGGACGCGGCCTCAGCGTGGCCGGAGAAGCAGCGCGTCGGTGCGCGCCCGGGATCCGAACCCGGGCCGCCAGTAGTGGAGCGCGCGCACTTAACCGCTAAGCCACAGGGCCGGCCCTCACTCTCTATTTTATGTAGCACCAAGCTCTGGGTCTCACCTCCTTTCTCTGGGTTACTCCCTAGCTCCAGGGTCTTGGATATGGATCTTCTTCAGTTCCTGGCCTTCCTCTTTGTCCTGCTACTTTCTGGGACAGGAGTCACAGGCACCCTGAGGACCTCCCTGGACCCAAGCCTGGAGATCTGTATCCTTTGAGGTTCGAGGTGGGGTTAATGAGCTGTTTCTGAGAGGTCTATAAATGAGGTCTCTCTGTACCCAGAACCCCTTGGGGGATTCCAGGGATGGAGCAGACCCAGCTGACAGAACAGGGAAGAAAAGGTAAGGTGCTCTAACCAGATTTTCATCAAGTCAATTTCTTCTGAGCCTCACTTTCCCCGTATATTGAATGGAGAAGGCAAGACACATCTGTCAAGCTACGAGGGCTCTGAGGATTGTACATGTACCTTACACCTTGTGGGTGAGACCCTGGGAGGAGGAGACGCAGGCCCTGGCCTACTGGGCCACCTACTCTGGGTCATGCCTTGGGGACATAAACGTGAGTCAGGACTAGTCCCTGGCTTTGAGGTGTTCACTGGCCTCACATTGTACTCGGTGATCAGCACTCTAATGGAACATGGGAGGGGGCAGGGAGAAACACTGTGCTGTGGCTTTTGGACTGGGTCTTGAAAGAATAGAACCTCATGGAGAAGGGTGAGGGGCATCCCAGGCAGAGTCTATAGTGTGAGGAGAGGTTCTGAGAACAGTGAGTGGCTGTGAGAGATGATGGGAAAACCATGGAAGAGGAGGGCAGGAGCCAGGTCCCAAGGGTTGTGTTCAGGCTGTTGGGTGTGGAATCCTCTGTGAAATGGACGAATGATACATTGCAGGATTCGTACACTTCTCAGACAGTTTGTTCTGGGTGTAGGTGTAGGGGGTCCCAGCCATGGGCATCTGTGGCCCTTGCAGATACTCGCTGGTCAGGAATGGGCCCTCTGGATCAGGACCACTGGATTATCCAGGCAGGATTATGGGTGTAGCTCCTTAACTTAATGCTACTCAGACAAGAAGATGTTTGAGGTGAAGCGACGGGAGCAGCTGTTGGCACTGAAAAACCTGGCACAGCTGAATGATGTCCACCAGCAGTACAAGATCCTTGAGGTCATGCTCAAGGGGCTCTTTAAGGTGTGTGCAGACAGGGGACAGCTCATGGCAGGCCTCGTCTTTGATCTGGGCACTGATGGATGAGTAGGAGTTCCCTAAGGGGATGGTGTTCAGTGAGGGGGAAACTGCATGCACAAAAGGTTGGAAGTAGGGTTTAAGTAAATGGAGCTGGGGGGCTGGTCTGTGAAGGCCTCTGCAAAGCTACTCAGCCCAGGTGGCGTTCCTTCAGGTGCTGGAGGACTCCCGGACAGTCCTCATTGCTGCAGACGTGCTCCCAGATGGGCCCTTCCCCCAGGACGAGAAACTGAAGGATGGTATGGTCTTCCCAATCTTGCCCTCTCCTCCTCCCACCACCTTGATCTTCACTAGCTGCCTCTTCTCTCTTGTTCTTGTCACTCTTTTTCTCTCTGGAAATACCCTCTTGTGACACCTTCCAAGTGGTCCCTGTGGGTGGATGGGCACTTCAGAGCTAGTTTCTGTGTTCCTGACACAGATGTATTCCCTTGTGCTGTCCTGTGCTGGGGGCAGGGGATCCAGGGAGGAGCCTCTGCGCACTTCCAGTCCGGGCTCCTTGCCTTCTCCACCACCCTGACCCTTCTGGGAGAGAAGGCAAGGATTGTTCCCATTTACAGGAGAAAAAACTGAGGCCTATCGAAGTGACTGGCCAGTGGGAGCAGTTCTTTACTACTGTTCTAAAAGCCCCAACCCCCTTAAATCCTTTTTGAGACAGGGTGGGACAAATGTAGACAAATCAGATAAAAGAATGTTCTGTGCCCTTTCATCCCCTCTTCCAAGAATTTCTCTCCAGTTGTGATTTTCCCCTCATTAACTGGTTGTAGTCTAACAATAAAATTTCTTAGATTACGCTGTCTGAGAGAGGATGGAAGCAGCCTTTACATATTGAATGGTGGGCACTTTACAAATATTATCTCTAGTCTCCACTGTAAATCTGAGGAAGGCACTATTACCTCTGTTTTCCAGATGAAAGAGGACAATTGGTTTGCCCTGGCTCTTACCTGTAAACCAAGCTAACTCCTGAGTTCTTTGAGGTTCAAGATTGTTCTGAAGCCCAGAGGCCCCTGCCCCACTTGTCTCAGACCCAACCTGGCATATCTTTGGAGGAATTTGCTTATCTCTGTGTGTGTGGCCTGGCCAGTACTGGTGAGGGCTGCCTGGGCCTTATCTGCAGGGGTTGCCCGAACAGGGGCTGCCACCAGGGCTGGGTATATAATTATTCTTCATGCTAGTCTGGGTCGGGGAGACCTACCATCATGATAGACACTAAACTCAGTCTAAACTGACCTGTTGACCAGAGGAAGGATATTAGTGGGAAAATTGATGATAGTCAAATAAAGTGTGCATTAGTTAGTGGTATTCTATTGATGTTAATTTCCTGGTTTAGATAGTTGTACAATGGTTATATAAAATGATAACATTAGAGGAAGCCAAGTGAAGGAGTTTTGTGGTATAGTATGTAAGTCTAAAATTATTTAAAAATAAGAACTTAAGAAGCATTTAAAATAAAATAAAATTGGAAGAATATTAACAAAAAAAAAAAAACAACCCTGACATGCTCCCTAGTCATCCTAACACACCTGACCCCTGACAGACACTGTAGTTGTGATAGTACCAGGGGCCAGCTTTGGACATTTGGATACCAAGTTGGGGAGGTAAGGCCCAGTAAAGCCTCATGCGATGCGTATGCCTCCATGTGCAAAATGACATCCATCTCTCTGGTCCCCATGGCAAAGGAGTCTTCTAAGCTTTGAGATGCAGGGGAAAGAGCATGGCCTGGGTATGCAGCTCAGATTTGCCACTCACTAGCCATCTGAGCCTCAGTTTCCCATATGTAAAATGGGAACAGCAGCCACATCTCCCTCTAAAGGTGGTTTTGAGGAGTCAGTGATCTGGTAGACATAAAGCCCTTAGCATGCACTGCACATGTGGTCAGCAGCCTGTGGGCAGTAGGCACTGTTCCCTTCTCTGGTTAGTGGGTTTGCCTCAATTTTCTGGAGGGTACCAGGGGGCTGGCCAGGAGGGCAGTAGAAGGGCATCTACCCTGGCCACTCATCAGAGTCCTCTTGCCAGCTTTCTCCCAAGTGGTGGAGAACACAGCCTTCTTCGGCGATGTGGTGCTGCGCTTCCCAAGGATTGTGCACCACTACTTTGACCACAACTCCAACTGGAACCTCCTCATCCGCTGGGGCATCAGCTTCTGCAACCAGTCAGGCGTCTTTGACCAGGGGCCCCACTCGCCCATCCTCAGCCTGGTAAGGACTAGGGTGGAGGAGGTCCGGGAGCTCTCTGTCTTGTGGTGTGCTGTGAGCCTCGCATCTGCCTTCAGTTGGGCCTGAGTGTGAGCTCTTGGTTATGTTTTCTGTGATAAGCTTCAGGGCACCTTGAGATGCCATCTCAAGGGGTTCTCTGCTGATTTGGGTCCCTAGGGGTCATCACCTGGCTCACATCTGCCCAAGCCTCGGACCTGGGTCCCAATATGGAGGGAGTGGCCCGTGGGTGAGCAAGAGGGAGGAGAGAGTAGAGGATGACTAGCTTTTCCTCATCTGCAGATGGCCCAGGAGCTGGGGATCAGCGAGAAAGACTCTGACTTCCAGAACCCATTTAAAGTAGACCACAGAGAGGTGAGCTGTGGGGTCCTGTGGCCATGTTTGCTCTGTGTCTGCCGGGCCATGGGAGGCCTGGTCCTGCAGGGGCTGGGGCGCCTGGGGTAGAGTTTGAGGGCTTTGGACTTGGAGCCAGACATGCCTGGGTCTGGGTCCGGGAACCATCACTCACTCACTGGTGCTTTTGGACAAGCCACTGCTGCTGTCTTAACTTCAGGCTGTTCACAGGTTGTGGACCCCAGCTGTGGGGGCAGTCAGAGGCTATGAATACACCTGACCCAGTGCACAGTAGGCATGGCACATCGTCAGGGAAGCCAGGGAAGGTCAGGCTGTTCTTTTCTGCCCTTACGCTTCTGTCCCATACTCCTGCACATGCTTTCATCCTAGGGGGCTGAGGTGGGCTCTGAGGGCTGAAGGCTGCAGGGGAGGACGACAGATGGGGACATATACAATAGAGGGGAGGAAGGGATCAGAGGTGGCAGGGAAGGGCCAGAGGGGCAAGAAGAAAGGGCCAGAGGACTAGACTCAAGTCACAGGCTCTCCCCTGGTGTAAGGGGGGCATCAGGGTCCGTGAGGGGCCTAGGATTTTACCCTTCTTGCAGGCTAACAAGCTAGCTTGCTACTGTTTCACAGATGCTGACAGGTGAGAGACATCAGAGTTTATTACAACAAAAGCAGTATCCAGCCTATTGACCTGGTCATGTGGGTTCCCCTTGCTCTGCAAGTCCCACAGCAGTGACACAGAGGAGCCCAAGCAGATGCTCTACGTGCAGTGGGTTTGCATCAAGCCAAGGAACACCGAGATTGGGAAATTCACTGCCTTTATAGTGAACAGAAGCAAACTTACTCTTTAGGGGCAGACATCACCTCATCCTTTAAGGTTGCTCTCTGCAAATACAACTCTGAGAAATGGCCGAGGTACAGAGTGGTCGGGGCTTTCCATTCTTGGTGTACTTAGCAAGAATTTGTAAGGACGCTCAGGGCCGTGGCAGATTGCCTCCCCCACGGTCTGTCCTTCAGCTCTCCATGTCTTGGCTTGACTCAAATTTCCACATGAATGTGCTATTCAGTCTGATTAATCTTACCAGTAGAGGCTAGGACCACATTTGTTCAATTTGTCTCATACTGCATTTGATTAAGGCTGCCATCAACAGGACTCGAGCAGGACAAGGCCACCCTGCAGTACTGATCTCAACCATATGCTCCAGGGTCCTGGACTCAGCCAGCTGTCATAAGTCCTGGGGGGACCAGTAGGTCTTATGTTACACAATCAGAATGTGGTCTAAGGCCAATCTGTTATCCCATTACCACCTACCCACGAGTTTAGGCTGACCTGCCGATCTTTGATGTCATTCGTTACAGGGAGCAGTGGATGGACCCAAAGCAATCCTCATCCCCACCAGAGAGACATTCCATGGCCCACTGTCTCCCACATGTTACACTTGATTTGGGTCACCATTACATTGTTTGGCTGAGCCCTGAGGGCAATGTCCCTACAGAGTTGCAGCCTCAGTTGTCCTGCATGGCATAACCTAAGGCTTCTCAAGCATCAGGAGAAGCAGATGGATTTGTATCTGTCAGATTGAAACAAGGTTGTACTGGCCTGTGTTTCTGCCCAGGGTCACTTCAGGAGCTGCCTTTGATGGCATCAGGCACAGCAGAATAGTTCAGTACTGACTGTATCCATGTGAGTTTTTGTATCACGTGGTTGAGAATGACACACCCAGCGGCTGGTCAGATTGTCAGCTGCAGCTGCCACTTGGCTTGAACAGACCCTAGGATTGTTTTGCCAAGTGGTGGTACTGGATCTAAGAGACAAAGAGGATTAATTGTTCTCCGCACCTCCTGGGATCTAAGGCATCCCCTCTCCAGATGCCAGGATTATTGCTACAAAATCCAAGTGTTATATCCTAGGATCTATAATTTCACTTTTTCTCCAATCATCCCTTTCACCTAGACCTTTTGTCCGGAAGGGTCAGATGTGAATGGGACAAGGGCATTTTTACAAAATTTTCAGAGACGCATTATATCTCCCATCTTGGCCCACATGGGCCATACTATTCCATCCAGGGGCTCTAGGTAGTCAAACTGGAAATAGAGTCCTCTGCTTTGTGCCAGTCCATGGTGGCAGATGTGTTGCCACATCTAGTACAATGATGCATTTAGGTGGCAATGCCAGTCAACTGGGCAATGTAGGCTTTATCAGCGTTTTGATCCAGGTCAGTCTCATCAGAGAATGGGCCTTACTCTGGGCATCTAAATGAGTGACCAGAACTGTGCAGTTGTCAACCACAATTTGTTTTCACAGTTTGTGGCCCCAAAGAGGGATCACTGTCTTTGAACCACCAGTCTGTAGTCTTCTGAGTGACAGACCAGATGGCTAGGACACTGACAACAGTTGGTAGGAATATAACATGCCTGGTCGTTAGGAATATAACATACCTATCATCTATGCAAGGGTCACATTTTTGTTTTTGCGTTTTTAATTTTTTTTTAAGTCTAAATGCACTTATTGGCTTTTTTTTTTTTTTTTTGCTGCTGAGGCAGATTCACCCTGAGCTGACTAACATCTGTTGCCAATCTTCCTCTATTTTGTATGTGAGCTGCCGTTACAGTATGGCCACTGAGAGACAAGTGGTGTAGGTCTGTGCCCGGGAACCGAGCCCAGGCCACTGAAGCAGAACACCCCAAACTTAGCCACTAGGCCACCGGGGCTGGCCCAGGTGATGGTGTCTAATTGAGATCATTGTCTGACTGGCCTTTATGGCAGTTAGTCTTCCAGCGTTGTCACTGGGACTGGATGGCCGTCCAGACACCTGTGTCGAGGGTTCCCAAAACTACTATGAGTTTGATGATTCACAGGACTCAGTGTATACTTAGTACTTACGGCTATGATTTATTACAGTGAAAGCATACAAAGTAAAATCAGCAAAGGGAAAGGGTGCCGGGGATGAAGTCTAAGGGAAACCAGGTGCAAGCTTCCAGGAGTCCTGTCTCAGTGGAGTCACACAGGACACACTTAATTCCCCCAGCAACAAGTTGTGACAACATGTGTGAAAAGTTGTCTATCAGGGAAGCTCATTAAAGACTCAGTGCCCAGAGTTTTTACTGGGAGCTGGTCATGTGGCACCCTCTGCCTCCCGCATACCAAAATTCCAGACTCCCAGAAGGAAAGCAGGTGTTTAGCATAAAACACATTGTTTACACAAACAGGTTAGGCACAGTGAGCCACTCTTACCAATTAGCATGGTGCGAGCCCTTCCACAATCCAAGTTCTGAGATATCAGCCAAGGGCTAACCTTGGAAGCAGGCATTTCAAGGATAGCAGTCAGACTGGCTGTGTTAACTCTTTTCTGCACAGCACCATTAGCTCTTAATTTAGGTGAACAATCAGTGGACTAGGCCTGAGTATTTAGGGGAACCTCTGAATCGTGGGCCCTGTTGAGCCGGTGGCTTTGCTTCAGGCAGCAGAGTGGGGGTTACAGTTTTCCCCACTAGGATAGTTGCCACCCCTTCGTGTAAAACTGAGATGACACATCCCCCAAGGTTTCTTGCTGCAATCACAACCCTGATAAATGGCCCGGGTAAGAACAGTCAGGGCTGTGTTCTCGGTGTACCCAGCAAGAACATGCAGGGATGCTCAAGGCCATGGCAGATTGCCTTTCCCAATGAGGGGGCACCCAAGGAGATGCTTTATTGCTGTGACGCTGGCTCTCCTTGCCCTGCTGGTCACGAATGCCTCTCATACAAGAGGACGGTGAGAGCATGGGCCACAGAGAGAATGGGTGCCAGGATATGTTTAGTTTGACTTCATTGTCATGTGTTCTGCTTGGACATAACCATAGCAGCAACTTACTTTCCTTATTTCTCATTGGCTGGGGACAGGCCAAAGTTTTTAGTCAAATTTTGGTATCCAGTGTGGACTCATCCATTAGCAGCAGCCCAGGTTTGCTCAGCTCCCATCATGCACTCCCTCCATGCTGGTGTTTTGGGAGTCCTCTCCTGCCTAAGTACCCATCACTAAGCCAACTCCTATCAGGCTGTGTGCTGGGCACTGTCCCTGTCCAGAGGGATCTGGCCCTCTCCTTGCTCTTCAGATGCTCAGTCTATTGGGGAAGGCTGCAGGGAAACACAGTCCCTATCCAGTGTGATCAGTGTGTCAATGGATGAGGGAAGTGTGATGAGCCTTGGGACCCCTGAGAGGGAGCCTGACTCAGCCTCAGCAGGTAGGTGGTGGAGGCTCTGGAACAAGTAAGAGTTGCCAGGTGGGGCTGGCCCCGTGGCTTAGCGGTTAAGTGTGCGCGCTCTGCTGCTGGTGGCCCGGGTTCAGATCCTGGGTGCACACTGACGCACCGCTTCTCTGGCCATGCTGAGGCCGCGTCCCACATACAGCAACTAGAAGGATGTGCATCTATGGCATACAACTATCTACTGGGGCTTTGGGGAAAAAATAAATAAATAAATAAAATTATTAAAAAAAAAAAAAAAAGAGTTGCCAGGTGGACTAGCTCAGGAAAGACCTTCCAGGCAGATGGACTAGCTTGCATAAAGGCTCAGAGGCATAGCACATGCATTTATTCAACATTTAGTGAGCATCTACTGAATCCCAGCCGCTAGAGAAGTAGGCTAGCCCTGGCTCCTGGGAGTGGCATTCTAGTTGGAGAGACAGACAGTCAATTAAAAATATATAATATGGTAGGTGATGACAAGGGCTATGGAGAAAAAAGCAGGGGAATGTGGTTAAGGAATTCCAGGGATAAGGTGGGAGTATAGTTGCTATTTCACATGACTTGGGCACAGAAGTTCTGACTGAAAAGACCTGAAACAAGTGAGGGAGCCAGCCTTGTATCTGGGGGAAGAACATTCCAGGCTGAAGGAACAGCAAGTGCAAAGGCTCTGAATTGGAAGCATATTTGGAGGGGTGGGGAGTGTGAGAAGATGAGGTCAGAGTTGTAGACCAGATCACAGGACCCTTGGAGGTCTTCTCAGGGGCTTTGGCATTGACTCCAAGACATGGAGAGCAGGGTGATGAGCTCTGACTTACCCCTTTAAGGATCAGCCTGCTGCTGTGTAGAGAACAGTCTAGGGGACCACGGTGGAAACAGGGACACTGGGGAGGAGGCTGCTGTGCTTGTCCATTTAGGAGTTAATGGTGACTTGAATCAGGGTGATTACAGTGGGGCTGGTGAGGAATAGTGAGATTCTGGTTCTGTTTTGAAGGTAGAGCCAATAAGATCTGCTAAGGAAGCAGATGTGGAGTGAGAGGGATGCATTGATGGCTCGAAGATTTTTGGCCTGAGTGTGTGGAAGAATGGGGCTGTCATTTCCTAAAGTGGGCAGACTGGTGGGACCAGGTTGAGGGCTGAATCAGGGATTAAAACTTTGTTTCTGGACCTGGTGAGCATCTGAATGAAGATGTCAAGGAGGCAATTGGATATATGACTCTAAGAGAGGTTGAAAGTGAAGCTACAAATGTGAGAGTCATGCCTATGAAGAAGGTATCGAGAGCCCTGGGACAGATCATGTCCCATCACTTGGGGAGGGTGGAGGGTCAGGACAGTTGGAGCAATGGTCTGCGAACTGAGACCTGGAATGTGCCTATAGTTAGAGGGGAGAGAGTGAGGAGGAACTAGCAAAGAACCCCAAGAAGGAACAGTCAGTGTGGTAGTAGCAAACCCAAGAGAGAGTTGTTTCCCAGAGGCCACATGAGGAAAGTTACAGGAAGGAGGGAGTCATTGGCCTGTCAAACGCTGCTGGAAGGTCAAGGAAGATGGGGCCTGAGAATTGGCTGCTGGATTTAGCAACCTGGAGACAGGCCATCGGAGATGTTAATAAAAGCTGTTTTGGTGGAGTGGTGGGGACAAAAGATTGGATTTTGAGAGAGAGGAAAGGAAATAGATGCAGCAAGTACAGACCATCCTTTTGGAGAGTTTTATTTTCAAGAGGAGACCAATGGGAGAATAGCTGGTGGGGAATGTGGGTTCCGGGAGAAATTTTAGTCAGATGGGAGAGACCCATTAGGGAGGAAGAACTGTGATGGTGCAGGGGTAGCAGAATTGCTGGAGCCTCATCCCCAAGGAAGTGAGGAAGGAGAAGAGATCTGGTGCCCTGGGCTGGCCCCATGACATAGTGGTTAAGTTCACGTGCTCTGCTTTGGCAGCCCAGGTTTCGCAGGTTTGGATCCCGGGCGCAGACCCATGCACCGCTCATCAGGCCATGCCGTGGTGGCGTCTCATATATAAAATAGAGGAAGATGGGCACGGATGTTAGCTCAGGGCTAATCTTCCTCAGCAAAAAGAGGAAGATTGGCAAGGGATGTTAACTCAGGGCCAATCTTCCTCACAAAAAAAAAAAAAAAAAGACCTGGTGCCCAGGGGAAGGGTCAGCCTTGCCTGGAAGAGCAGTGTGGGCACAGAAGCAAACGGGTTGTTGGGTGTGGCGGTGGGAGCTTGTGGAAGTTGTCTCCTGAGTGCTTCCATTCTCTGTGAAATAGGAAGCAAGGTCACGGTCTGCGAGTGAGGAGGCTGGAGAAGAAGGTATGTCTAGGAGAGCAGGCGGACCAGGGGAATGTCCTGGATTCCCAGGCAGCACAAAGGGCCCGCTTGAGGTTAGGCCTAGCATTAGCTAGGCCTAGTGAGGAAGGGATCTGGGAAAGGGGTAGGTAGTGTTTCTTTTCTGACCCATCTAGGTTTAGTTTCCCCTGATGAGGCTGAGCCAGTTGGGGCTGGAGGGGCCAGGATCTCTTGACTTGCTCTTCCCCAGCCAGAGCCAGAGGGTATGGGGTCCTCTGTGTCCTGATGGGTCTCCCAGCTCCTCACCCCTCCCAAGGGGATCAGAATTAAGTCGTAGGGATAGGAGGCAGAGTGTAGTCGGGGAAGCACTAGGCAGGGAGGTGGGAGGCTGGGGGCTAGTCCCATTTGGGCCTCCCTCTTGCTGTGTGACTTGAACATATCATACCCTCTCTGGACCACACTTTGGTATCACTTGATCTTCCAGACTCATGGTTCAATCTAACTTGGTAGGTAGATTACTCCACAAGGTGGAGCTCCTGGTTTATTTTTAGTGTCTACCTTGATCAAACATTTGTCAAATTTGCCCTAAGAACAGATAATATGGGCATATTTTACAACATAGTTACCTGAGTTTTGGGTACTCTTGTCTTTCATATGCTAACATGATTCATTCATTTTAAAAATACATACTGAGTGCCATCTATAAGCCAGGCAGGCCCCACACTAGGGGTTCATGGCACAGTGAGCAACACCTGGCACGATCCTCCTGTCATGGAATGTGCCATCCATTTGGGGCGACAGGCACAAAGCGGGTGGTCACAGGGAGAAGCAGTGAGAAGGAGGCGGTCCCTACCCCAGACAGGAGTCAGGGCAGGTCCCCCAGGGCAGTGACAGCTGAGCTGGAGTTAATGTGGCAAAGGGGGCGGGGGCTGGAAAGAGCATTCTGGGCTTGGGCCACAGCATTTGCAGGGGCCTGGAAGTGAGAGCGCACAGGGAATCCAAGAACCAAAAGGTAGGAAGTGTGAGGGAGGAACGGAGAGGTGGGCAGGGTGGACCTGCAGGTGCAGCTGTGTGGAACTTTATCCTGAGTAATGGAGAGTCATGGAAGGGTTTAAGCAGGGGTGTGACAGGGTCACATTTGCATTTTGAAAAGATCTAACTGCAGTGAGGAGAACAGCTTGAGAGGGACCAAAGTGAGTGTGGAGAGACCTTGGGAGGCTCCCAGAGTCGTCCGGAGAGAGGTGGAGGTGGTGATGGGAGTAGTGATAGGAGAGACAGAGAATAGTAGATGGGTTTGAGAGAGACTTAGGGGTTAGAATGAGCCAGGCCTTGGCAGTGGACTCAGTGTGGAAGGAGAGGGCTGGAGATGGGGGCTCTCAGTTTCTGCCCTACTCACCTAGACTGGAGTGTGGGGCACCACTGTTCATGAGGTCAGGGTCTCTGGAAAGGGACTGGGTTTGGGGGAGATGGAGCCATGCCAAGTAAGGGGCACCTTTGGGACATCCTAGTGGAGGTGTCATGCGTTTAGATTTGGAGGTGTAGATTTGAGGCCTAACTGACCACATAGGCGTAACAGAAGCCATAGGTTTAGGTGAGCCAGTCTGGAGGGAGCAGAGGGAGAAGAGCAAAGGGTCTGGGGATTGCACTTGAAGAATGCCCCAACTGAAGTCCTCATCCTCCTCCCACCCTAGCTTGCCCTGTGTTCCACCTCCTCGCCGGGCACCACCATCTACCCACTATGGAAGCAATGTCCTGGGCACCATCTTCTTGTCTTCTCTTCTTCCTCCCACCTCTTTTTCAGAGTCTACCAGTTTGACCTCTGATCCATCTGCTTCCTGTGTACTCCCTTGTCTGGACGCTGCAACTTGTTAGCAAGCAGCAAGACACTGCTGTCTCTTACTCTCGCTGGCTGCCCTCCCCTCCTACTCAGGGATGTGGCAGCCAGGGCTCTGGGGGTCTGTGGTTGTCTTGGGCACTCAGCCCCCTCACCCTGCGAGGAGTCTAGTTATTGTTTCTCAGATGCCCCGTGCAGGTTCACCCCTCAGCATCTGTCCCTCTCCCTGGAATGTCCTTCTCTTCCCTCACTCTCTTTGCTTGGCAAGCTACTGCTTATCTTGCAAGACCCACTCAGCAGTTTTCCCAGAGCCCATTTAACTGTCTCCATGTCTGTGGGCTCCCTGAGGGCAGGGCCTATGTATAAGCAACCTTCCTGTCCCCACAGCCTGCAGGGGCCTAGCTCAGACTCTTAGCTGCCGGCAAATTAATTCGGACTGCTCTGCTCTTCTCCTCAGTTCATTTCCAGCACCGACCCTTTCCAGAAGGCCCTGAGGGAAGAGGAGAAACGCCGGAAGAAAGAGGAGAAGCGGAAAGAGATCCGAAAAGGCCCGCGGATCTCACGATCCCAGTCTGAGTTATAAGCCTGGAGCAGTCCAGGGTTCAGGGGGCCAGGAGAAGGCAGCATGGCCAGGGCTCAGCGACATCGACTGGTGGTGAGAGCCGGCCCCTGTGAGAGGCGAGGCCACGTTTGCTTGGCCTCCTGCGGCTGGCTCTGAGCTCCAGCTCAGAGGACTGGGCCACAGAAGGCTGGATTTCCTCCCAGGGGCTTCCCTGGAGGGGGTGTCGAGGGGGCCTTCAGAGGATGCTATGCTGCAGACCTAACCCTGTGGAGATACTGGGGGAGGCAGGAGGGATCCTGGGCCAGACCCTCCCCATGGGTTACTACCAGTGGTCAGCTGGCTGCTGCCCTTTGTGGAGAGGCAGCAGAGCCAGGCTCTGGGCCATGTGTGGAGGTGCCTTGCCTGCTGCTGGCCCCACTGTGTCACTGAGCCACCTGGCACAGGTCCCAGCCCCCAGCCCCTGGCAGAGACATAATAAAAGCCAGCAAACCCTCTGGGCTAACTGAGGCTGGTTTGGGCCCCAGGGATCTGTGTACCCTTCCACTGGGCAGGTGATGAGGGGCCTGGGTGGTGGGACCAGGGACCCTGAGAGATGTAGAGACCACCTTAGAGGATGTTCCTGCCCCATCAGGAGGAACCCCCGGCCCGGGCCAGGTAGTGAAGCAGGGACTTGGCTTAGGCCTCCTCTTCCTTTCTCAGCATTGTCCTTGACAAAGGATCAGTGTTGAGAAGGGACCAGAAGTGTCCTGGGAGGGTGTTTAGCCCAAGATGACCTTAGAGCAACATGATCTCTGTCCTCAGGTATCTGGGAACAGTCGTTGAGCAGGTGCAGGGAAGAGTCAACCTCTCCTCTCTGACAACGCTGGGAGACCCTTAGCCTGTGGGTAGGGGATGTTGGGGGATAGGCTGCAGCTCTGCAGGAGGATGTGCTTTGTAATGGCAGGGCGGCCCCGACCAGGATTGGTCAGACAGTGAGCTCCCTGTCTCAGGAGGTGTGCAAGCAGAGACCAGTGGCCATAGGGCAGGGAAGCTTCAGAGGGAGGTACACCCTGAGTGGGCAGCTGCCCTTTAGTCGTGCCCCTCCCAGGCAAAGGAGGGAGGGGCTCTGGTGGTAATTCTAGCCCTGTCTCTTTGACCTTGCCAAGCAAGGGTCTGCCTCTTCAAAGGGGATAGAGACACGACCATCCGCAGAACCCCCAGCCCCCCACAATTGACAAAGCCCGAGGGAGACCCGAGTCTTGTCTCAGTCCATCAGACTTGCTGAGGGACCCTGGCCCACCCCTTCCCTATTCTGTGGCTTCATTGGCAAAATGAATTTGATAATGTCTGAACTCTGCCCAACCCTAAACTGCTTTTCTGAGGCTGGGCTTCTCTGACAGGTGCCCTTCTCGGATGGTTCTTTGTCCCAGAGATTTGTTGAGCACCCACTGTATGAACAGACAAAGAGAGGGGCCCCGTCTTACCTGTCTTCACCTCTGCCACATCTGGCACCTCCATCCTCCTGGGCTCTTCCTTCTACCTTCAGCCTCGCCATCTTGGCTGATCCCTTCCTCTCCGCCCTCAAATGGGCCCAAGTTTTCCCGTCTGACACCTTCAAAGAAACAAACAGAGCCACTCTGCTCTCCCCTTCTCCTTCCCTTTGCTGCCATTGTTGATTGTTGTGGTCACTTGTTCTCGGAACTCCACCGTGAGTCTTACTGCAGGCAGAACCTGCCCACTGCCCCACCAGGACCTATAAAGGCCTGAGGGCACTTCTTTGTCCAGCCTTCTTGCAGCTAGGATTCGGTTCTGTGACTGAAGTGCCACCAACCAGATGCACCAGCTTGTGTGGGAGTTGTGCTGGTTGGAGGCAGTGGCAGCACTGGGGGGATTCTAGTGGCCAGACCAGCGCCAGGGGTGCCCAGTGGTGGCAACAGTGATGTCTTCACCGTGGTCTTGGACGTTGTTTCTGTCTACCAGGCCCAATCTGAGGCACCCCTGGAGAGTCTGGGAGTTCCCCAATATCCTCTAAGGCGGGGTTTCTCAACAATGGGCACTCTTTACAGCTGGGGCCAGGTAATTCTTTGTTGTGTTTGTGAGGAGGGCTGTCCTGTGTGTTGTAGGATATTTAGCAGCATTCTTGGCCTCTATCCACTAGGTCCCAGTAGCAATCTCTCAGTTGACCACCAAAAATGTCTCCAGACATTGCCAGATGTCCCCTGGGGGTAAAATCTCCCCCGTCCACAGCCCTTTTCCCTCCTTATCCCAGCCGCACATCTTCCTCTGCAGTCCCAGGTCACTGCCCTCAGAGAGGTGCTGTTTACAGCTCCTCCCCCTTGAGATGAGCCTCCCAGGCTTTGGGCCACCTGTTGTCCTCATTCTCTACCCTCAGTCTGAGTCTGTTCTAGCTTTTCCTGATTCCTCTTTCTTACCTGCCCCTTAAATGAAGAGTTTTTCAGCTTAGTCTCTCCTCTCTGCTCTTTTCTTGGCGACTGCATCCTCAGACCCCAAAGCTGATGGCACCTGCCCTGTTTTCACCTGATAACCCTCAGTCCTTATGTTTTAGCTTATCCAAAACATAACTTGTTATTTTCCACCCCCAAGCCTCACCTCTGGATTGAACTGTGGGGTACATGCTCTTGCTTAATCCTGGAGGAAGTGACACCTGAACTGAATCCTAAAAGATTGCGGGAGGAGGGAGGAGACAGGCACTGTGAGCCGAGGCCTAAAAGGGGAGGCGTGAAAGGTAGTAAATGAAAAAACGTGCCAAGTTCTCTTCTGTGACCTGTAGTCAGTGCCCAATCTGTGGTGGCTGTCTGGACATAATGGTCATCTAGTCCAATCCTACCCTTTTCAGATGAAGAACCCAGGTCCTGTGGAGTGACATGTCTAAGGCTGCTCCACCCCTGAGCACCAGCCTCTGTTCTCCTGGCCAGGGCAAGTGCTAACTGGAAGAGATGTTCAGTTAGGTGGTATCCAGGGCCAGAGGGAGAATGTCAGTGTTCTGCTGAGGCTAGGTCTAGTGCAGCCATCTTTCTTGCACAGTTTCTGCTGAGCCTTCATTTGTGTCCCCTCAGGCCACTTTGGTCCCTATTGCTAGGCACCACAGCCTCTGGGGCAGGTTCAGGCAGGAGCCGTGGGAACAGCTGCAGAGTGGGAGGCTCTGTGCCCACCTTGCTCCTGGTGCTCGGGCAGCCCTCAGCGGGGGGTTACTGAGGCTCTGGTATGGGAGGGCACTGGACCAAAGTGACTCGTATGGTAGGCCAGCAGACAGTCACCCTGCAGTGTGGGGAGCCCTGTGAGAGCCACTGAGGTGCAGTTGAAGATGGCACTGTCCAGCTCAGTGCTCAGTCCAGAGCAAGGCAGCAGGGTTTGGTTTTCTGTTTCAGGGTGAGACTGGTATAGTCTACGCCAACTCTCCTGCATGTACACAATGAAGAGAATGTTCTTGCCTTTTTTTTTCCAAAAATAAGACACTTTATTATGTTACACATGTTCATTATAAAAAGTAACTTAGGGGCCAGCCTGGTGGCGCAAGCGGTTAAGTGCACGCGCTCCGCTGCGGAGGCCTGGGGATCGCCAGTTCGGATCCCGGGAATGCACCAAGGCACCGCTTGTTAAGCCATGCTGTGCCGGCGTCCCATATAAAGTAGAGGAAGATGGGCACGGATGTTAGCCCAGGGCCAGTCTTTCTCAGCAAAAAAGAGGAGGATTGGCATTGGATGTTAGCTCAGGGCTGGTCTTCCTTACCAAAAAAATAAAAAGTAATTTAGACAATACTGAAATGCCAAGAAGAAAGTAAAATTCACCCTAAATCCCACCACTCCCATAACCATGACTGACAGTCAGCTGTTGGGGCTTCTTTTGCCCATCATAGAGCACGTAGATCCCTATTTTTTGGATAACAGTAGCTACCTTATATGGGCACTTAACGTTATGCCACGCCTTATGCCAAGTGCTGGCTGGCAACAGCTCCTTCTGCCTCAGGGCCTTTGTCCATGTTTGTTCCCCTCGCTATACCAGACGCAGTTCTCTCCTCATAATTTTAGGTTTTATGTTAAATGTCAGAGTCCTTTCCTGACATCCCAAGTCAGGTTCCTGGTTAGTTTCACCACAGCCTTACTTTCCCTTGATCATTTGTACCATTATCTATTATTTATTTTTGTTTTTGTTTAATGTCTGTTTTCTTCACTAGACTGGAAGCCCTCAGAGGGCAGGAACTGTCTTTTTGCCACAGAGATGTCCAATAAATATTGTCAGAAGAATGTGCAAACAATCTCATTTAATCTTCACAACTATGAGGGGGCACTATTTCCCCATTTTAGAGGTGACAAAACTGAGGCTTAGAGCAATTATGTAACCAGCCCCAAGTCACACTGCATGAGTGGATCCATATGTCTGCCTCCACACACCTGTGCACTCTTAACCGCAAAGCAACAGCTGCCTCTCACAGACTGGCAGGAAACACACTTTTCCTTTTTAACAATATATTGTGAAAGTCTTTGTCAATAGACATACATTTATGTAGGTAATGTTTAACGATGCCATGGTATTCCATTGTGTGGATTCATCCAGTCCCTTATTGGGCTTCCCAATTTCTCCCAGTTACAGAGGATTTGTGATGGCCATCTTTGAACACACATACTTGTGCACTTCTTTAAGCACTCGTACTTTTTATTCTTTAGGATACGTTCCTAGAAGTTTGCATATTCGTTTACATGTACAGCTGCAAGATGGGGCAGTGAGGTGCTTGAAGGAATGGGAATCCGCGGGTGGGCTGCGCATCAGAGTCCCTGCAGAACTTTATCAAAATGCTCGTGCCCGGGCCCCACCTCAGGAGGCCTGTGGTGGCCTGGGTAGCGGCATCATTTTGAAAGTCTGCAGGCGGTTCCGAGGCACCGGGGCGAGAACCGTTGGAGCATGCGCGTCGTCGCGGCAGGTGCAAAGGCGCAGAGGTTGTAATATGCGCTCCGCACTTGGGACAGTTCGCGGGCAGCGCGGAGCCTCTGTTTCCGCCTTTGTAAGGGGCTTGGGAGGAACGCGACTCCTCCCAAGCACTGGGGTGGCCAGGTTTGATCCTACCCGCTCTCCCTGGCGGGCAGGCGGGGGTGGGGGGGGCAGCTGGGAACATGATGTAATGTGCTTACAACTTGCTCCGGGGGCGACCAGGGGGCGGGGGTGAAGCGTATTAACCCTTCAACCCCTGGCCGGTGGAGGGGGTAGCTTGTGGAGCAGACCCAACGGAAAACGGAGCGGCTCCTTTAAGTTAGGAGAAGGAGGTTGGGCTGAGGACCTAGAGGGTTCTCCTTGCTGTCGCTACTAGGCCGCGAGGGGCGGGGCCTCGCTATGCAAATCTGAGCTGCT